GCTGTGTCTTTGCTTTAGAGACAGTGTGGCATAAAGTAATAAGAAGAAGGCAAAAGACATCTCTTTATTCCCAGCGATATTCCGCGCACCACTGCGTGCAGCAATGGAGAAAAAAAAATCTCCGAATACCTAATGACCATATTCTATAACACGGAAGTCGACGGTACGGAAATAGTGAGTGCCGCACAGACGGGACATTGACGATCCTACAATGCATGTACACGCGAGAGATTCAGTCTAGACATTATTGCAGCCCAATATTAACTTACCGAATACTTAGCATTTGAGTCTGACATACATTCGGTATGACTAGGGCGTGCAATTTCATTTGCAATTAATTCGCACCGTGACTTGGACTAGTCTTGGTCTACGGGCCATGGGTAAAATAAAACACAAATCTCCCTGAAAATGACAAGATTTTCGCTAAGCCCAACGTGCGTGACAGGTCCCTTGCCAGTGGCATCATTTTAACAAGAGGCTGAAAATTGGATAAAAACTCGGGCTGTCAAGTTACAATTATTTGACTGTCAGTGAGGTATCGATTAAAACTCAAGTTGTCGTCATTACTCCAGTTGTCAAAATACACAGCCGTGATGGAGGCAAAATAGAGGGGAAAGTGTATCAAACAGAACATACAGGGAGCTACAGAGGACATAGAGTGGGAAGCAGTTAACTATTGCTTATGTCTAAAAAACTGTACACATAAAATCCATTCCTAGCCAGCTTCATGAAAGACAAGGCTTTAGCAGAACTATCGCATGATAACCATTTTCCTTCCCTTGCTGCAGTCTAAATGGTGCAACATAATTCACACATGCATAATAGAAACTTGAGAATTCCGATCCGGTACGGGTCCACGCTGATGCTTGCAATATTTCAAAGGAGATTCAAGACGTGATAAATTCTAAAAACGATCGCATAAGAATCGCGTTAAAGATCTCCCTTTAGGTTGACGTAGTTTCCACACTGGTATATTATGTATGAAGAGATTGAAACACGTATCAACATTGCCAGTGTTGAATTTGATAGCAGATTACCTCAGCCATGAATGATTAATTTAACCTCACCGGCGCACAGGTTAAACCGTCTCCCACCAATAATTGAATAGAGCCCGGACAAAGGTCAATCCCTCATATTTTGTGAGGAGAAACAAACAAAACAGTAAGCATGCAACTTGGACGTGATTTCCCCGGTCGATGGGAATCTTCGCATGGTGCTCAGGCAATCGTTTCAATCGAACTCGAGACTGGCCCTTATGGCTGAGTGTCTACGGGAAGACCTAAAGGCTGAAGGACACATTTCGGGTATGAAAGAATCGCGCACCTGCAATTCATCCGAGTTAAAAACAAAACCGGGCAGATGGTGGGGGTAATTCGATCATGCAGACACACTGAGGGCCAGTGCCACAGGCTCCATGCTAATTAGAGTAGAAGTGAAAAACAATAGGAAACACACACCGTAACGAACAAAACAGCCAGGGAAAAAATATAACCACCGCTTCACGGTCACAGCAACGTTAACATGAGGGCGCACCACACACAATGCGGGTTTACCAACGGAATAACGTTTAACGGGAAAACATCAAGTCATGAGTTTTAATCAGTGCTTTTGATATTAAAACTACGATACGTTTGATTAAGTTCGTAAAATATACATTGCGAATTGAGTTAATTGGGGCCCGCGGAATCGTTGGAGTTTGATTAATAGAATTTTGAATTGAATTTAGTTTAACTTGCAATCTTTAGGGCACACCTAAGTGACCCAAAAGGCTAGGTCCTATATTAAAAAAAAGGAAAAACTATGGAAGCTATGTGCAAATGCTTCACTATAAGATGCGTGCTTTCACTACACTTTGCGTAAGCATGGAGGGAAATCCTCTAATGTATATTAAAGGTCATTAAAGGTTGCACTAATAAAACCATCTTTCTAAAAGCCAACACTTTGTCTCAACTATGAAGTATTTCCCTTAGCCCTTTATAGGCCCCTACAAAAAACCGCAGTTATTATTTAAATGATATTCGTGAATTAAAACTGAGCGTGCGAACTATTACCTTTTACGTTCTTGATCACTTTGCATTGATTTGAATTGAATCCATGCTATTCATACGAGGGACAATTCATTCTCCTATGCCTCTGAAACAAAGCATTAAGGTCATATATAGCCACGATCTAATAGGATTCGGGAAAAAAGATCGAGGACGTATTTGCCATAATCTTAATTCTGAACGGAAGGTCAACGGCATCGGAAACCAATTACTGTTCATGAGTCTCAGTGACTCGGGGAAAGAGTAGGTACTGTTGACATGTGGTAACTACTATGGAATTGGCGAGTTGACTTTAATTACGTCGCTTTCAAGATACAAACTGTACAATATCCTGCGACATTACAATCGATTGAGCGCCATCAATCCAGCGCACAAACCGACATAAACATGTGCTATTTCAGCTATTGTATATACTAAGAGAACACAGCGGCTATAGCAAGCATTGTCTGGGCATATTTGCGAGTACGTTTCATATATCGGTATATTTGCAATCCCGTGATTTGCTGGTTACTGTATATCGTCGTTGCTTTGGGGTGTACTGGCCGAGATTTTAGCATGATTCTACCGGGCTTTCTTGTACTATCTAGGGAGCGAAACCTTTCAAGGGTATCAATATACCATCTCGTGATGCACACAAGTCAACATATATGCCTCAAGTCGCCCGTCTCATCGATATCCAGTGCGACCATCACTTTCTTTAGATAAAAAGTAGAGCGGTTGCCGAGGCAACCATCGACTGGTAGATTTGTTATTACGCGGAAAGGTGTGAAACGACCGAACATTCCCTTTCAATCCGACCAAAGCGCGCCTGGCGCTGATTTTTGGCTCGGTTACTATTACACTTTGTGCTGTGGTCAGCCGGGTATGTTGTGGCCTACCGCGGCCTTTTCGGTATAAATCCTTTCTTAACAGATCCTCTTTTCTGGCTTCTGAGGCTGAATCAAGGCTCCGAAGTCATTTTCGCTTTGTATTTGCGAATTTCCACAAGGCTCTGCCAAGCTAACACCTGAGCTTCAAGCACTCTGGAGATATTGAGAGAATACGGCAGTGCATTTTCAAGTGCCTATGGGGGCTGTAGTGTTTGAGAGGTCGTCCCATGCATATTTATGGTGCAATGACGAGTCTACTGTACTGGTGCGTTTTTTTATATTACGCGTAGGCTAGAACATCTTGCTATTCGCCGTGAAAATGGGGGCTTTTTGCAATTCAAGCTGGAGATCGCTGAATCAAGAGGTCGACCCGGGAGGATAATTAATTTGCATACTGAAATAAAGTACACTATTATGTGTAGATAGTTCCATAAGCGTGGCATGACAATCCGCTTTAGAAATTCTTGCCATTTATAAAGATAGTCATCTAGCAAGCAAAGAGTAAATAGTTTAATGTTAAACTGTCTGACATTGACTTTTAACCATTGGCTTCAAGCTCAACCCATAAGAAACAGCAGGATTCAAAGCCAGAAAATTACTTAATGATTAAAAAAGACGGTGTTTTGGTTAAAAAAGGAAGTTGTTGCTGGGTTTTCGTGGTCGTAATGTGATGACTTCTACACCGAAGCAGTCCAATATTTTAGCCGCTTCACTACCGTCCTGAGGTGTGCCCAAATCACTGCTCGGACAGGCGGAAGTTAACCGGGTAAACGAGGCATGAGATAGCCTTAGCATTAAAGGGTACTTGCGGAATTTTCTACAACATGCGAATGAAACGGGATCTGTCATCACGACGCTGACCAATAAGTGCAAATTTCAATCGCTGTTCACTGCATAGACCCCATCGATATATGATGTTGAAAGAAATGTCATTTTCAGGCAAATACAGGGGGAAATCTCTAGGGCCAACATTCTGAGGAAAGCCCACACGATACTTACAAACCAATCCACACGAATATTCCCATTGGAACAGTATTGTTTAATTTGAGATGGGCTGTACATTTTGTTATGGTTGCCAAAATAATCGTCAAATTCATGGATGTTTTTTTCAATACAGCAAACCACTCAGTCTCGCGCATCCACCAATCTATCAAGAGTATGGGACTGGAGAGTATTTTTAGTCTTGTTTTTTTTTATTCCTTTCGCAAACGGATGAGAAAGCACACACGTGCCTCGAAAAATGTCAAGTCCATAGTAGTCCACGTATCGGTGCGCGTGTGTTTTTGCAGTTGTTTGAACATGGCCATTTAATTAAAGCCCAAGCGACAGGGTGCAAAGTCATACCATATTTTAAACAACACGTGACGCAGGAGGTCGTGTCATTCATTTCTGTTGCCGGTGGCACTTCTAAAGAGTACTGGTTCCTCACCGTTAGCAACCCGATGCAACGCGTGCAAAAACACACGGGACCACAGCACTTTTTTCCTCTTCACCTATTGTTAAGGGGTCAACATCAATGCGTTTTTCGTTGATAAAGGCAAGAAAAATACATAGTGTCGGGTTAACAAACGAGGTGGGACGGCCGGCGTACCTTCTACGGGGAAGTACAAAGTGCAATTAATTTGCTAGAAAAGGAGACGTGTTTTGAGAATATTCGCCAGCAGGTGAGAACTGCTGACTTGTAAATTAAATCGCCCGGAATAAGGTGTTCCCCATCAAGAAAGGGAGCCGTCCAACTGTCGACAGAAATAGGAATTCCCTGGATGAGTCTTGTGTACGCATTTAACCCCCTCTCAGCCATGTCAGCGGTAAACTAGAAAGAAGCGTGTCCGCGGCTAAAAACAAATTATTGAATTATGCAAATGATGAACCGGTAGTGCAAGGATGTTCGGTATAATTAGGGGGCCTAAAATCAAATTGTGGGAGGCCAAAAGCTTTTTAGGCTATTCTCAATGAAATCAAGTCGTGCATGCTGGAGATGGCATGTTCGTGCTTAGCGCCTACATTTTGTACATCCCTTTGGCGCCAAAAAAGGACGATCGTTAAAAATGCTCGTGGGTTCATTGCAATGTGGATTATACCGCAATTAAAAGAGAAAGAGAAGGAAAAGCAAACGTGGGGATTGGGATAGGGGGAGGAGCAACTTACTTCTTGCTTTAGGCATGACCTCTTCCTCAAGCATCGTTATGTAATCCCTGTCTTTGAAAATTACTTCCTCAAAATCTCCGTGAGTTGTTTGAAAACCATGTTCAAGAAGGACACGGTATATAGATCCCATCGCAAACTTACAATCACTTATCGGCACATCTTCCTTACGGTAGACCATAACCGTGTGATTCCACGCAAACTGCACAAAGAAATCACGGACCGCCTCACCCATTTTGTTGTAAGGTGCCTGAGTTCTGGTTATCGTAGGGTGGTCACCGTCTCTCCTGAAACCCATCGCCATGGCCGCTCCAGTCACCATGGGTACATTCCGGAACCCCAAAAATCGGCTGACTTGACTGGCCGTGTATTCGCAGGCCGGTCCGATAAACACATCGGCTCCATGGTCCAGCCAATCAACCAAGGCAGTATTGAGTGCAATACCCGATTCACAAAGCGTATTCCCGTATAGGACAGTGACGTTGTGATTTGGTAAAATCTCCGAGTACCTCTGTAATGCCATATCGGTGGCCGGCCGGACCATTTGCATGAAGAAAGGGTAGTATCGATTAGGGGGCAATCTGGGCACAGGGTAGCCAGGGAGAAGAACGGACATTGTCAGGCTGGTTAGCAGGGAGTCTTGTTCCTTGTCGTGCGGTTGACATTGCCTTATCAGGTGTACAGGTGCCGGTAACGATAACAAGACAGCAGTCCCAACCAACATCTTTAAATCGATCTCCATCTTCCTTCAATAATGGGTAACTCCCTGCTTCCACCCCACCCTGTAGAAATCCTCTATGGCTGTGCGGTATCCTCACCTATTAGTGTATGTCCACACTGCGCGAGAGACGAAATGTCATCGTTTTCATGACGGAAACATACTGGCGTAGCGGGCGTACGACAACACGATATTGACGTTGAAAAAAAAAGAAACTCAGAGCGAGTTCTGAAGTGATCTGTTCAGGCGCGTAGATCAACACACCACGGAAGCACAAGGCAGCAATGCCTGAGAGTTCAAAGTGTAAATTGATAAAGAAAAATTAAACTGGTGAAGTACGCGGAGGCAGGTTCACCTGTTCAAGTCATCGGGGTATGCAGCTACAATCACGCCGCCTGGGAGATCAGCCTGAGTGGCGGTATACAGAATAGGAGTGGCTGTTGTGGATGACCAGTCCTTGTAGAATACTACTAAAAAAATACCCGAGGACAAATCACTTCAAATTGAAGCAGCGCATTGGAGATTATGCCTGAGCGGTGCATACACGTTCGAGAACATTTTGCTCCAAAACACACCGGGCGATTGAGGATAATAAGCCCCGGCCATTCCGGTGCTACGGTCGGTGGATAAGTCAAAATCCTTCACAAGAGTTTAGGGACAAACGGCCAATATGCGCGAATACCTCCTCCGGTGCGACTTATCTCCTTTTTTCTTTCCTTATTAATGCAGGCAGGGCGACCAATGATGTCTGCGAGCCTTGGACATAATTCATGCGGTTTGAGCAGGGTGCGCCCACAGCTCTACCGGTCTGCGATTTTCTCGGTGAGGCCTAAGTGTGCCGCCAACGTCGATGGTCGACAAACAAGGAAATGATGATAGTTGACCGACTCGGGAATAATATGGGCTGCTCGTACGTGATTTGCTCAGCGCGGCGCGACTCCAGGCACAAAAACCTACACCGTACATTTCCGCCGTCATCTGGCCCGGCACGGCGAATATCGGCGCGTATAATTACGATTCCGACACTGAAATGTAATGACAGCCCATGTAAACTGAGCACAGTGATGGAACCAAGTCACGATCAGCCGAGACATTTCTGTATTCTTAGCCCTGCCACCCTTTTGTTGAGAGATGTGTCCCTGACAATGCCACAGATCTTAATGGATTTGCAGGTATTTACGGCGACTTTACAGAGTAATTACAGTGAAACATGTCGCTCCGAAGCACTCAAGAGGTAATCTGATTGTTTACCGTACAAATGCAGATATATCATGACGCATATTTTACACAGAAGAATTGACAGTTTCAAACTCCTCGATGGCTTTTTTGTATAAAGTAGTCAGGTTGGCATATGCTTCTTTGAATGTCATTTCCTCGAGATATCAGAATATTTTATTGCTGTTCATGAAGGATTAACATTATACAGACCCCGTGATCTAAACCGCTTGTTACCATTTACATGGTATAGTAATAAAGGAAAATGGGATATATGCTCGTGGGAACCACCAGACGGATCTTGTCAATAATGGATGATGGAACACGAGTTTAACCGAAGAGTGGCATAGGGCCCTTACTTTGCATGCAGATCCCAACTTTGCTTCTTGACGGGGTAAAGGAACACATTCCCGATCCCCTGACCTATTACGTGAGTGAACCAGACAAGCACGAAACTAAATTTGTTAATGTGAACAGTGTGCGTACATGAGGAAACACTTTTATAAGTTCGAGCAGAGTCGGTGAATCTCCCTCAGTAATCAGTATGCGGATTGCATCGGCGAACTTTAGCCCCATTTAAACAAAACCGAAGGTTCAAGAGGGACATAGTTTTTCCAATGTAAATTGAAAACAAAATAACCCCAACACGGCACCTCCTCCCGTCGACTTCACGAAATGAATCTCTGAATTTTCGGTTGCAATTCTGGGCTGTGTCACCCAGGGGAGGAGTAAGTGTACTGTTTCTATTGACTGTTTTGAACACAATCGACCAAAATATTACCCTCTCGTGGGTACAATATTCCGATAACTAACCGTCGCCAATGGTGCAAATTACAGTCCAATTATCCACGAGCAGTGTGTCTACACAATACACGCAGACATCGATCACTTACTGAGGGTCCAATCTTCAGAGGTCTCGGTAACGAAATTAGCCGAGTGACAAATGAGAGCAGATGAAGTTAATGAACCCATCCAGCGGGCATCTTCGGAGCAAAGGGCGCCAAAAAACCCCGAATATTTGTTTTTCCTATAGCCTGATTTTAACCGGGACACATTGTACGTGATGTTAACCCCGGTGTACAAATAAATTGCACGGTGTTTCTTGTAATCAACTTGAAAACACATAGGCAAAAAGTCACAAAACCTGTTTAATGTAAGTTTGCGATATTTGAATTTTAGACTTTTCTCATAAAACACCCAACAGCACTTTATGTGGTAAAGAGTATATAACGTCATTAGCATTGCCCTCTGAATAAAAAAAAGGCATTTGAAGATCATTCAAATGCCAAAACAAAACTCAATAGAGTCTAAAGTCGTAAACTGAGGTAATATTGGCATAATCATAAGTTTTAAAACTTATGCTTCGAATTTTTGCCAAAACTCCACGTACAGCGTGAGTATAGTTTTCTGTTTTTAATAGTATGAGTACTATCCAATTGGATTTCCAAGGAGATTACAGGCACACGCTATGGAATTACCCCGATATTCAGAAGCACAGGTCGTGTCAAATTGATGGAGTCACAAATGATTAACCTACTATAGAAAAGTTGTCAGGATACATCTATAAATATTCAAAAATGTCTGGGTATCAACGGAAGGCTGTTTCACCAAGAATGCACGCTCCTATATTCCCGCGCTTGTTGTGTTTGATTTATGTGGCTCTGTGTCAATATTGGCCCAAAGCCTGTCGCTTTCATGAACTGCTTCTATTTGTGTGATATTGTCCAGAACCGTACTTGCTATGCTCCTATACTGTTACGATATCGTGGTTCTACTACTGGATTTTTCTCAGTCGACCGTAAGCACCCAAGGGCACGAATCGTACTTCACGGAAAGTGCTCAATGACGGATGCATTGTGATCACTGTTTGTTTGAAGTAAAGAAAACTACGCCATACAAAAATATAGACGGAGTAAGCATTTGAAACGGGGTTTAGCCAGAATGTAATCACTACAGCTGGGATATTACGTCAACGTGCACCACACACGCCAAAGATTTTAGACATAAACGATATTAATTACTATAAAGAAAAATCGCAGTATGCTTTTAAGTATTCAGTCATATCGTGTACATTAAGCATTGTCTTGTAAGCATATCGCCATTTCTCTCAAAGTTATGGAAACCCTCTCTCGTAGCTCTAGTGACTGCTACGAAAAATTAAAACTTCCTATGTCACAGCCTGTTATGCAATCTATCGTGGAAACATTAAGAAATGATACTTAAAAGTTTTACCTACGAGCGGAATCAAAATTTCTTGTTCTCTTTTACACGTTTTTGCTTTCAACGAAACTCCTGTACTTCTTCTGTCTGGTGGTTTTTATGCATATCCTTGTGTAATTTCTTCTTTTTTTAACTCCTGTGCTTTTACTGTGAATTAACTGTAATTCAGCCTTTTGAAATAAACCATTAATGATAATAATAAATAATAAACCGGCTCACTAGATCTTTTCTAGATCACATGCACTGAGTAAATTTCACCAGGTTAGGACGGAGTATATAGAAAAACCAAGGACCTCGTTAGCGGTGTATGTAAGCTTGGTTCGAGACTGGAAATTGCTTTTCTCGCACCAGTCGACCTCCAGTGAACCGAACATGGACGCTGTTACACGGCTGGTTGGGAGAGCATCGGGGGTTGCCTTCAATAATTGGTCGTCATGCCTCGGTGAAAGAAGCCGCCCCCCAGTTCGTCAACTCTGTGCTGGGGGATTTATTAATCCACGACAGAAAAACAAAATCCCTGCACGGTTTTAATTTCCGGAAAGGCTCCAATGTGCGAGACAAATATAAAAGGAAAAACACTTCAAATGCAACGGATCAGTGAGCAGGGAAAATTACTACATGTACTATGATTCAAATATTACGTGAGTACATCGACAGAATAAGCCAGTTCGGTATTTCAACTACGCATGCGCACAATGATATGGGTCACGGGGCATTTGGGATAATCGAAGACATATGAACGCACGCGGAGACAGGCGCACGACGCTCGTGGCGCTAATCACAACCAGAATGGGCGTCCGCGTAACATCGCGTATCATCACGTCAGCGATTTTATCCCGAATGACCTTTGACCTGGACTACTTCATCGAGATACCGAACAGGCTTATTACCTTAAAAAAGCCCCCCCCCCAAAAAAAAAAAACCCAAACAACCCACGCAACATAAAATAACCAATTTAACAGGAGTCGAGTCTTCGAATTTGGATGAAATTTATCAAAATGGCACATGTGCATTATTTTCGCTGATAACTACCACACAATGGTGTAATTTTAGTAGCCTCGTTTCCAATGTAATAATAAAACCCCAAATAATTAATTTATATCTTGTCGAAGAACACACGACAACCTGAAAGCTTAAAGCTTAATTTGATTTATAAAGTGAGCGTAATGTTTGTATGCAAAGGTCTGCAATAAGCCACTCTGCGGTGCCTGTGTTCATGCTGCAACCGACATAATTGCCCTCGCCGTGATTCACAGAATCAGGGCCCCTCGATTCAGTCAATTTATCATTTCCACTATACATGTACCTTTAGCCGAGGTTATTCGAAGGCAACAAAATAATTAGCTGAACACAACTCAATATATCATTTTCTTGGCTGACAAAGAAATAAGAGACCCGCCATTTCCACGGAGAGCTTCCCAAAGTCTTTCATGCGAGACATGTGTTACCCTCGAGAATATAGTCGAAGTCGCTAAATGAATGGCAAGCAAACGTGAACTTCAGCCGTTACCAGCAGTGCCAACGCAACTCACAAAGTACGCCCTCTCGTGGTTCTTTGTCCCGCAGCTCTA